GAAAGATCTAGCACTGCTAGTGATCCCAAATATATGGACCACCCACCTATGTCCTAGCACTGACTTACCAGATGTCTGGTTGGGCTCTAAGCTAGTATACCACTGTGAAAAGTGTGCAAGGAAGAATGGGACTTCCAGACTCCAAGATTATTGAAAAATTGATCGTAGGATTGAGGAAGACCAAGAGGAAAGTGATCTGGAAAGCTACAGCAATTGGGAAGAAATGTGTGCTGTGTCTGGCTGATGAATTCTATTAGCCATAGAGAATGGAATAAACCTGATTTAGGAATGCAGTTCTTTCTTTTTTCTTTCTTTCTTTTTTGTCTTTGAGACAGTGAATTGCTCTGTGACCGAGGCTGGAGTACAGTGATGTGACGGATTATAGCTCACTGTAATCTCAAACTCCTGGGCTCAAGCGACCCTCCTGCCTCAGCCTCCAAAAGTGTTGTGATTACAGGCATGAACCACTGAACCCAGAATGGAATTATGTCTTGAAAGGCTGATTTAAGGGATAAAATAATATCAATAATTTAATAAAGAAGATTTCCTGAAGTTTATAGCCAGATGGTTTTTTAACTGAGATTTTTCAAATACATGAATGGCTGCCTTGATTTTTGGCTGTCTTGGATTCATTACTTGATAAGCAATTTGCTTTTCTTAAAATGAAATAAGCTCCACTGGTACAAAGTGAATATGTCTACCCTCAGGTAACATGTAATAACCTAGAAAAAAGTTAGATTGTTTTCTACCCAATGTTCAACGAGGTTATGTTAAAATATCACAGGTCTAAGCAAGTATTTGAATTGTCTTGAGACTTCCTCTTTCATGCATACCTTTCAATCTGTGATTGAAGGGAGAAGTCTTTGGATGAAATGAAGGGAGAAGTCTTTGGATGAAATTACTGGATAAGTAAATGAAGGCATATCTTTCTACATTTTTCTGTTTTTCTTGTGAATGTCTGTCTCTGTTTTTCACCATTCATCTACAAATAGAGCCACAATTCATCACTGAATACTAGAAATGAGTGAGTTCCAGTAAAGGAATGTGATTATTGTGGAAGGAGTCACATAAAGTTCATAATAGTCTTCCAAACGTCCTTTTTGTAATACACCTAGACCAGGTTTTATAAAGCTCAGGTACTAAACTTATCATTACGAACAAGTGCTATTTTTGATTTTGAGTAGCAAAAATCTGGAAAAATTAAATGCATTATGACATTACGATCTGGCATTATGTGGAATTTATACAGGAACTAAAAAGAGTGATGTAGAGTTGAACTGAAAAAAATCTTCACGTTGTTGTAAACTAAAAAAAAAAATCTACAGGGCAACAAGCATGGCATCATTTTGTTTTTATATAAAAAAGAAAACAGGCTGGGCATGGTGGCTTATGCCTGTAATCCTGGCACTTTGGGAGGCCAAGGCAGGCAGATCACCTGAGGTCAGGAGTTCGAGACCAGCCTGGCCAACGTGGTGAAACCCTGTCTCTACTAAGAATACAAAAAAATTATCTGGGCCTGGTGGCATCTGCCTGTAGTCCCAGCTACTTGGGAGGCTGAGGCAGGAGAATCACTTGAACCCAGGAGGCGGAGGTTGCAGTGAGCTGAGATTATGACACTGTACTCTAGCCTAGGCAACACAGCGAGATCCTGTCTCAAAGAAAAAAAGGAAAACAACTATTTTTAAACCTATGTGTATGTGATATAAATGTATGTGTATAGAGAAAAATGCAGAGAAACACATTTGAAGTTGTTAAAATTGGATACCTGAGTAAGAGAGAATTGAAAGAAGATGGTGAGGAGATTAATAATTTTTCTTTACATATCTCTGGTTTATTTGATTTATTTAAAAGAACACATATTACCTTTTATAATAAAAATTCAACGTCACATAAAACTAAATAAAGTAAGTCTAGTGAAAGCAAACCCTAAAATGAGAACTGTTGTGTCAGTCCCCCATATGTTTATGCATCAGGTGCCAATTGTTTTCGCTCTGCTCTAAGACCAGCTACTGGCTGAGTGGTTGTCTGACTTGCTCATGTTCTTTGTGGATGGATGATCCCCAAGCCACCTGACAATTGCGTAACCTAACAAAATGCTGGACTTTATGTTTTTCACTACCTACTCTTTCTTATTTCTTTATGCAAATTATACTCCATATTATGAAAGTAAATGTACTAGTGTCCAGCTCAGAGGAGCTTAAGTTCAAAGACAAGGTGATAGACTTCATTAGGCAAAAAACTTTTAAGATTTCATACATCAGCAGGCATTTCCCCATGGATCAACCCCAAGAGAAAATGGGACCCAGCAAACATTTTACCTGACTGATTAGAACAAAAAGGCTGCTATGTACCACTCTTAGGCACAATTTCAAAGGGAGGACAGCACCATGCTCATTCGCTAAAGTCCCCTCCTAGTTACAAGAGGAACCTCTGTGCATGTGCATGTGCGTGTGTGTGTGTGTGCATGTGTGTGTGTGTGCATGTGCGTGTGTGTGTGTGCATGTGTATGCGTGTGTATGCGTGTGCACGTGTGTGTGTCGCGTGTGTGTGTGTATAAAGCCAGAAGAAATTTCTCAGGTTGCAAGCTGTGTCCTGCCAGCCAACAGTCAACGTAATTTGGGGGAAAATAATATAATCAGCTTTTTCCACAAGGAAATATGATGCACATGGAAATATGATGAAATTGGGTCAAAGAGTGGCCAACTTTCCATTTCCATTTCCATTTCCTGGAAAAGCTCCAGGGACTGAAAGTCTTGAGGAAGTGTATCTGTAGTTTTGTTTACTTGTTTTTTTGTATCTCTTAATGTTTGCATGGTTTTAAAATCTAGATTTAACATTAAAATTGCATTAGTGTTTGGTCAGTTACATTTGTACTTTAGATTGGGGTTTATAACTTAAATGTAATGTTTATAATTTCAACATAAAATACACTAACATGAGATCCTGACACTTACAATCTTATCTAGGAGCCTAAAATTCAACAGCCAAGGCTCTAGACACTTATTGGAGAATCTCATCCTTTAAAATTAGATCAATTGCAATATTTCTAAAGAGTGAATCCTGTACTCTGTATATGTGAGACTTACATCAAGTAGCCTGACCCTTGAGAAAGATGCACCTGTCTTGTCCTTTATTGCCTGTGAAATCCCAGGCGAGTCTGTGGGTAATTTGGCATTTCTGTTTTGCCCATCTGCTGAAAGGTGACTCTTCTCTTTTTCTCTCAAGCTGTTGTACTTCAAACTCTTTGGTCTCTGGCTTTCAGATCACTGATAATTGAGGTGAAATAGCTGCAGATTGGCCACTTGACTACTTAAGGACTTGATTATTATTATGATAGAAATAGGTAAGGAGTTATGAAACTTACTTCTTTTCCTCCTGGGGTGAGCAAAAGACTGGAGCAGTAAATAAAATATTTTTATTGCCAAGTCTATGTTGATTTACTTTGCCATCCCTCATTCACATTTTAGTAGTCAGTAGAAAAAGTTCCCTGGATCTAATAGCTAAATCTCTGAAAAGCGGGTGAGGAAATGGAAGAAAAGGATTAATAATAATAATATTTATCGAGTACTGTGGTGTGGCCAGACCTGCTAAAAACTTTTCAAGATCACCTCACAAATCTATAAGGTCTGTATTATAATTATTACCATTTTAGAGATGACTGAAAAACTGAGAGCAGTAGTGGTTTGCCCCAAATTCCCCATCTACTTAGTGGCACAGCTTATTTATAGAGTCCCTATAAATCCCAGTTAGCCTGGGACAGTCCCAGTTTACATCTTGAATCCTGAAGTAATAGTGAATGGTATCTCCTGTTCCATTTCAAAAGTGGACTACACAAATTATATGGTCACTCTATCTCAAGGTTTCTTAATCTTGGTACTATTGACATGTTGGGCTGTAAGATTCTTTGTTGTAGGAGCTGTCCTGTGCATTGCCAGGTGTTTCACAGCATCACTGCCCTCCATCTAGTAGATGCCAGTACCACCCTCTGCTTCAAGTAATGAAAAGCAACAATGCCTTCAGACATTTCCAAATGTCCCCAGGAGAGAAAAATTGCTCCTGAGAACCTACTGCATCTAAAGCTTATATTTATACAAATTTAACTACAAAAGGACAAAAGAATCTATTTGTTTACAACTGAACCTATGCAGTAGAGTGGCTGGCATATACCCTGTACTCAATAAAGTTCTTTATTTTTGTAGAAATGGGATCTCACTATGTGCCCAGGCTGATCTTGAACTCCTGGCCTCAAGCCATCCTCTGGCCTTGGCCTTCCAAAGTTCTGAGATTACAGGCACGAACCACTATCCCTGACCTGAAAGTCCATTTCTTGGGGTGTCACTTGGCTTCCCAATTGTAGAGAGGTGCAGGGGCTAAACAAGTAATGAAAAAGATGCCTAGAAGGGCTCTGGTGATAAAAATTGGTTTGTTGTGGCTGGGCGCAGTGGCTCACGCCTGTAATCCCCGCACTTTGGGAGGCTGAGGCAGGCAGATCACGAGGTCAGGAGATCGTGACCATCCTGGTTAACATGGTGAAACCCCATCTCTACTAAAAATACAAAAAAATTATCCGGGCGTGGTGGCGGGCGCCTGTAGTCCCAGCTACTCGGGAGGCTGAGGCAGGAGAATGGCGTAAACCCGGAAGGCAGAGCTTGTGGTGAGCCGAGACAGCGCCACTGCACTCCAGCCTGCGCGACAGAGTGAGACTCTGTCTAAAAAAAAAAAAGAAAAAGAAAAAAGAAGTTGGTTTGTAGCAATTCTTATTAGAGAAGACTAAAACAGTGTAACTACAAAGTAACACAGCAACCTCCTTGCTGCCCATTCTAATTATGTAAAGTTCGAATCTTGATTCCATTGGGGCTTTTGCCTTAGTAATGGACATAAAAGCTAACGTGATAGAGAGTGTTACAGTGAGTTTCATACTGCAGCAATCTTCTTAGTATTAATTGCTTATCAGTGTTCTATTTCCTCCTACTCTTATACTTAGAAATGACCACCATTTCTTTCATACCACCATTTTCATTTATTAGCAATAACAGAGGAAATACCAATAGCACCAATTCAAAATGAATCCACATGACGTGTTTTATCCTTACAGCTGTAATAACTAGTAACTAACATGGATTGGAAAGCACTTCGCAAATGTAAAAAGTGCTGTACAGATACATTATAATTATCATCATTAACAAATTAGCCCGATTCTCCTAGTTCAAAAGGCACGTAAGGTCAGATACATGGGCTTCAGTGGGGCAAAATGATCACAACCTACAATGTGGCAATGGTTCACATGTGTTGGCAACAAGTTTTACCCCATGCAATCCTGCAGAGCTGAAGTTACACACCCTTCAAAATATGGGAGAATGAAGCTAAAAGTAGACAAGACAGTTTTTTTTTTAATTTAATGCTTTTTTTTAAATAATAGACTCCTACCTCTTTTATATTAATGCCTAGATAATATAATTAATCAAACTTCTAAATTGTACATTATAACAAAATTAAAATGTCTTATTTAAGGTGACAGCAAATTTTATTACTTTCTATGAGCTGATACTTCAGATACCATTAGAATTTCAAAGCATTCTGCAACTTCAAAGAGGTCAGATTGGTAAAATTTGTGCTTGCACACCCTTATGGAATATTGTCAGTATTCATTCCAAAATTGTTACTAGAACAAAACAGCTTTATCCATTCCCTTGCCAGCAGAAGTCTTGGCAAGAGATGGCTCTTGGCTGGACCATAAATAAAATTCCTTGAATCACCAGTATCTTGATTTAAGAAAGAAATTTTACTGTGTCTTTCATACACAAAAGCTGATTAACAATGGTTAAAAAAACACTACTCCACTTTTTCACAGGTGTACAAAAGGAAATATAATGGAATTACATTCAACAATAAAGCTTAAAGTTCACTCTAGGTAATAGTTGCATTAACATTCACATACACAAGCACAGAGTAAGTATATTTCAGGAGTCTTATCATAGCATACAGCATACATATGGGAGATTGATTTCAGGTAACATCATAGGTGTTAGTAAGATTAGCAATTCAGAGTGTTATAGAAAAGGAAAACTAAACCAAAGAGAAGGTGTAGGCTAGCACACCAAGACAAGTCAGAATTAGAAGACTGAAAAATCTGCTCACTGTATGAGAAAACAATATTTTTCTTCAATTTTTGGGTCTTGATATAGTTGGTTAGAGAAGGTTGTGTATCAAAGTGCACACAATTGTTTCTTAGAAAAGAGAGAGAGAGAGAGAGAGATCATTTTATTTAGTAATACATGCAAGAGGCAGCCCCAGAGTGACCTGAAAGAGTAAAGCTGTGACTGGCAGGTGGCCGATATAATACAGATGTTTCAGGCAATTCTCTTAAAGCACTTCTGTAGCAGCAATGATCATTTAAATGGCTGTAGACTCAATTCTCTTTTGAGGAAAGTTTAGGGGAACTGTATTCATATTTCTCTTTAAAGATTTATAGCTATAGACTTTCTCTTTTTTTAAATAAATCTATGAAACAACAAACAGCGAAAGGTGAGGTGTTGGGGTTTTCTTTTGCTTTTGCATAAGTATTGGAAAAGGATCTGACCTTTTCATAAACATTGTGTGCAAAAGAATTTTTAATAAAGTGAGCACAGGACATGTATAGGAAACACATCAGATCTGCTTCTGTTTCCCAGGGTAGTTCTCTGTTAAAACACTGAACTGTTGACTCGCAGGTAAGATGCAGATTTTAGGTATAATGACATCACAGCCAATGGACTTTAGGGTCTCCTAAAGCCTTGTCAGTGGGGGTAGTTTTGTCTCCTAGAGGGTGGCCACCACCTCTTGAGTTGTAAGATTTGGAAAGTCTGGTCCCTTTTAGTTTACACTTCCCCTCCACACTGATAACTTCCGCTGTTTATTTGTCTTTGTTCTCTTGCCTTCCTTGTACCAATTAGTCTAAGCTGGCCCGTCTCAGCCAATGTCTGGCATTCGCACACCCGCGGTGGCCACACATACTCAGTGGCCACAAACACCCAAGCTGCTCAATCTCAAAACTTTTCAGCCTGCCCTGCAAGTGTCATCAAGACAGGATCCCCGGAGCACAGGGCAGAGAGTCCAACCTCTCACTGGCGGGGCTGGGAAGCCTCTCCTTTGCGGCGGAGGAGAAAGGAAACTTGGGTCTGCTTTTTAGGTTCTGAAAACAAGCCAGAGTGGAGAGAAAGAGTTAACACCAGACTTAGTAAAGCTTTTACGACAAAACCTGTTAAATGCGTTCTAGACAGACACAGGGAACTTTCTGCAGATTTCTGAGGTCTCTAAGAGGGCTCACATAGATAGGAAAAAGGAGCAGGGAGTTGCTACATGGGAGAGATTTGCCATTATTACAAAAACTGGCTAAGTGGCTTGTTTCCATTTGAGGACCTCACTGGTCACTGTTGTCAGTCGTGCTGTTCCCTTTCTCTTTTTTCTCCTGGGTCTTGTTACCCTTCTTCTTTTTCTTCTTTTTCTTGGTCTCCTCCTTTTTGCCGAAGGTTATGAAGTCACTTTTGTCAATTTGGTTGTTAGTAGGCTCCTGCCGGATGGAGATGATTGCAGGAGATCCTGGGATAATGAATTTGTCTGGCAACTCACCGGGACCGGATTGTTTGGGGTTGCCTGGTCCGTATTTAAAGGTCCAGCTGTTGCTGTTGACACCCGCACCAACTGGAGGGGACACTTCTCCTGCCTCTGGTTCTGAAAGACAAAACATTACAAATCATTAACGGGCTCTTGATGGTACACTGCTGGTAGAGTACAGAAGTACTGCATAGGCAGGTTGAGCCTCCCAAAAAAATCATGAGTTATTTCTTCAAATCTGAGGGCAAGGCAAGTGTTTACTTATTTATTTATTTGTTTAATTTTTTTTGAGACAGGATTTCCCTCTGTCACCCAGGCTGAAATGCAGTCACTGCAGCCTCGACCTCCTGTGTTCAATCAATTCTCCCATCTTAGCCTCCCAAGTAGTTGGAACTACAGGCACAAGCTACCATGCCAGGCTAACTTTTTAAAAAATTTTTTTGTAGAAATGAGATCTCACTGTGTTACCCAGGCTGGTCTCAAACTTCTTAGAGCTCAAGAGATCCTCCCACCTTGGCCTCCCAAAGTGTTGGAATTATAGACATGAGCTACCACACCCAGACAAGGCCAGTATTTACAGACAAGCAAGAGGGCAGGTTTTTTCACTAGGATACCAAGAATCTGTTTTATAGGAACATATTTTTGGTTCTTTGTGAAGAATTTCCTAAAGAATACAGTTGTGATTATCTTGACTGGGAATGAGACGGGAAAGATACAGGCTAAAGGTAAAATATGCTCCTTTTAGTGTCTAGATTAAACTTTGGCTATAACTGTATTAGGATGTCTATTTCGTCCAAAACAAGAAAAATTAGTTGAATCAATTATTTGATCCGAATTTTATTGTAATAACCTTGAAGGATTGTGGGATGGAGCAGAGGAGAGATGGGAATACACAACATAAGAAGATGGAATCCTGTTGTAAATTGAGCCTATGTGTTTAGATAAAACATTGGGAGCCAATTTTACTTTCCAAGCCAAGTTCCTTCCCTCAATGTGCTCACAGTCTAGTTGGGACATACACTCAAGCAACTAGAAACCAACTGAATACATGCAATAACTAAGGTGTATGTAAAGTATTGTGGGACTCCAGAAGAAGAAATTGTTATTTATACTTGAGAAAGTTAATGGGGTTCCAGAGGAGGTGAAATCTGCCCTGAGTCTTGGGAAAACAATTATGCATCCACAGGAGTTTTCAATAGAAGACATTCCCAAGTGTCTGATTGGAAGACACACCATAAAGTATACCAGTGACTTCTAGAAGAGTAGAAGTCAGAGCTAGAGAGGAAGGGTAATGGTCTGTGTGGGCAAAGTGATCCCAGTGGCCATAACATTGGAACTCTGACATCATAGCAATGTTTATGTATCTGACACTGCTCTTTTGGTTGACATGTGAAAAGCTCCATCAAATAAACTGTTTATGTTCAATTACAGTTTAGGGTTGTCTATATCTCCTATTTCAATTTCCTATTACTTCTCAATCTCCTCTAATTTGGTATCCCTGAGCAGTAATTTTCTAACATAACTCATGTCAAGTTCATTATATTACTTCCACAATCAATGATCACATTTTAGTCCTCATCTTATCAAACCTCTCAGCAGCATTTGTCATCCCCTTCTTGAAACACTTATTCTCATGAGTTCTTTGTCATGTAGGACAATAACTCCAATAAGTTCTCAGATGGACTGGACCCCTGTTACAAAAGGCAGATTAACAAGAAAAAAAAGCAAACAGAAGTTTATTAACATGTATATTTCATATATACATGACAGACACCCAGAGAATGAGCGGTTCTCAAAAAGGTGGCTTAGAATTCCAACTTATATAGTATCTTCAACAAAGAACAGTAAATTTTTTAAAAAGTGTAAGACAAAGGAAAAGACCTTTAAGGACTTTTGAGTCTCTAATGGGTGGCTGCTTGGGGGAAGGCAAATGAATGGCAGATAAAGGCTAATTTGTAAAGCTTGTTAATGTCGATTCCTCCAGTACCATTTCCAGGCCAATAAGAGTCCAAAGTTGTCTTCAGTGGTTAACCTTTGTTCTTCCTGGTGGTAGGAGGCAGAGGAGGGAGGTAGAAGCAGGATAACTTTTGTCTTTGTAAATTTATGTTCTTTTAGGCAAATAGAGGGAGGGCAGAAGACCCCTCCTGTATCTGCTTCTTTTATTATTATTATCATTATTATTTTTTTTTTATTTGAGATAGAGCCTTGCTCTGTTGCCCAGACTGGAGTGCAGCAGTGAGATCTCAGCTCACTACAGTCTCCACCTCCCAGGTTCAAGTAATTCTCATGCCTTAGCCTCCTGAGTAGCTGGGACTACAGGCACATGCCACTATTCCTGGCTTTTTTTTTTTTTTTTTTTTTTTTGGTATTTTAGTAGAGATGGGGTTTCATCATGTTGCCCAGGATGGTCTCAAACTCCTGAGCTCAGGCAATCTGCCCACTTCGGCCTCCCAAAGTGCTAGGATTACAGGCGTGAGCCCACTGCACCCAGCCTGTATCTGCTTCTTTTAACTTGCCTTCAGCTCAACAATCCTTCTTATTTTGGGACAGCATATTCTGGCCCCAGACTGGCCCCGGACAGTCAAAACATTCTCCTGACCTTTCTCTCTGGCTGTTCTTTGTCAGTTTCCTTTTTCAGTTTCTTTGTCAGTCTCCTCATCTGTGTGTTGAAGCTTCCTTGGGTCTGGCCCTAGACTCTCTTCTCTATTTTCTCTTCACTCTCTCCTTTTGGGATCTCAGCCATATCCATGGATATAAATACTATCTGAATAAGCTGATGAGATGCAGACTTATATTTTAAGCCCACATCTCTCTGTGCTCCAATCTCATGTGTAACTGCCTATCTGGTATCCCCAGTTGGAAATCTCATGGGCATCCCGGACTGAAGGAATCTGAAATCAAACTCTTGATTCCTTGAATCTATTCCTTTCTAAATCTTTCCAGTTTCAGTAAATTACACCCCATTTACCCCATTTCTCAAGCCAGAAAGTTCAGAGCTAATTATTCATTTTTCTCTATTCTATTCTTCATTCTTCATTTATAATACATCATCAAGACCTGTCATTTCTGTCTCCTAAATATATCTTGACTCTGCCCTCTTCTCCCAATTTTCACTGCCACCACTCTTTCAGGACACCATCATCTCTTATATGAATTGCAGCAATAGTCTCCTTATTCAGTCTGCTTCCACTTCTGCTTCTCTCCAACCCTCCACACAGTAGCCAGAGTCATCTTCATTTCTTAAAGTCTCTCTTTAAAAATTGAAGTATAACAGCCAGGCGTGGTGGCTCACACCTGTAATCCCAGGCCTTTAGGAGGCTGAGGCAGGCAGATCACGAGGTCAGGAGATTGAGACCATCCTGGCTAACACAGTGAAACCTCATCTCTACTAAAAAATACAAAAAATTAGACGGGCGTGTAGTCCCAGCCACTCAGGAGGCTGAGGCAGGAGAATGGTGTGAACCTGGGAGGCAGAGTTTGCAGTGAGCCGAGATCACGCCACTGCACTCCAGCCTGGGCGACAGAGCAAGACTCTGTCTAAAAATAAATAAATAAATAAATAAATAAATAAATAAATAAATAAAATTGAAGTATAACATACATATAGGAAAATCCTTTAAAAATAGAAATCAGATTATATCACTCCTCTGCTTAGGCTTTCTATTGCCTTGAGAAAAAAAAAAAAAAAAAAACTCCTTACCATGATACGTAAGTCCCTTCAATAATCTGATTTTTATTTCTTCTCCACTCTCATCTACAAATCTCCCTCTTACTATTATACTCCATCCATACAGGCCTTCTTTCAGATCCTCAAATACTCTTTGGAGTTGTCTTTTGTTGTTGTTTGTTAGAGATAGGTTCTCACTCTGTCACCCAGGCTAAAGTGCAGTGGTGCAAGCATTGCTTGCTGTAACCTCAAACTCCTGGACTCAAGCGACCCTCCTGTCTCAGCCTCCCAAGTGTCTGGGACTACAGGCCACCATACCTGGCTCCTTGGAATTCTTTTTACTTCAAGATCTTTACACATCTGGTTTGCTTTTGTCTTGAATGATCTCTTATCCATTCTTAGCATGACTCCTCATTCTTCAAGTCTATGTTAAATGTAACCTCCTCGGAAAGGCATTCTATGACATTCCTAGCCAAACAGCACCCCCTTAGCCTATTAGTCTCTATCACTGTAAGATTCACAAAGGCAAAAAACATATCTGTTTATTCACCAATGTATAACCAGTGCCTAGCACAATTCCTGGCCCATAACAGGTATTTAGTAAATACTTGCTGGATGAATGAATGAAAGGACTGATGTGAGAAGTAAAAGTGGTACCCACTCTTTAGCAGACCAAACAACTCTCCAGTGAGGCACTTTTGGGGTCCCTAAAGACAACGAGGTAATGCATGTAAAGTGCTAAACTTGATGCTTAGAACAATGCAAGAATTCAGTAAATGGTATCACATATGGGCAATTATATATAATGCAGCTCTTGGGGCTTAGGAGGCCAAGATAAAGATACTACAAATTTACAGCAGGCAGTGAGGAGAGGGGTCAAGAAATTTTCTTCTCTCTTCCAAACCCTTTTCCTTACACCAAGCTTCCCTTGGCAGAGCTGACACAATAGCACTTTAGGGATGAGAAACAATTTTTTTCTCTGAGACTACTGTCTTTGATCTATCTAAGTTAATCAAATCTGCAATTGAGCTCAGCCAGAATCTGCTTGTTTAACCTTTAAAATACAGGTCCTGTCTCTGAGAGACTGAGAAAAGAGAGAAATGTCAGGCCTCTGAGCCCAAGCTAAGCCATTATATCCCCTGTGACCTGCACGTATATATCCAGATGGCCTGAAGCAATTGAAGATCCATAAAAGAAGTGAAAATATCCTTAACTGATGACATTCCACCATTGTGATTTTTCTGCTCCACCCTAATTGATCAATGTACTTTGTTATCTTCCCCACCCTTAAGAAGGTTCTTTGTAATTCTCCCCACCCTTGAGAACGTACTTTGTGAGATCCATTCCCTGCCCACAAAACATTGCTCCTAACTCCACCGCCTATCCCAAAACCTGTAAGAACTAATAATAATCCCACCACCCTTTGCTGACTCTCTTTTCGGACTCAGCC